TTCTTACTAAAAGTAAAACCAAAATGAAACCAAGTAACGGGGACCTAAATCAAAAAACCTAAAAAAAAAAAAAAAAAAAAAAAAAAAAAAAAAACAAAAGCATCAGAGAAATAAATTACTAACGTTTTAAAGACGGTGATGCGTAAAACATAATAGATTTTTAAAATACCTGAAATTAATTCGTTAACGATGAAAGACTTGTTCTGCACTGTAAAAATAAAAAAAAACAGAAACTTTCTTTAAAATAACGTAATAGTGTTCGGTCTAAATAAACACGAGAAAAATGAAACAAAAAACTGACCTTTAATTCCGCCACGCCTTGGCGGTTGGACGGGGTTGACGGTTTTTTCGCGTGGTGCTGAATTACCCGTTTTTTTACGAGGTGCTCTCCTTGCAGCTCTGGTCACCGGCTGGCGTTTTTGCTCGTTGGTGGTATTCCCAGCTGCTGGCGCTGGAACCCGGCGCTGCGTTGGCACCGGCGCATACAACGGACCCCACGCTGCATTCAACGGATCCCACGCCGGAGCTGCAGACTGACCTCTCGATCCGGCGGTTTGTAGACCGGGGTTGGTTCTGTCTTGCTGGGACGCAGTTGAACCGGAACGATCTTCCCGCGCTCGCAGGTCCTCCTTGGTGATACAGAAAATGGGGGAGGGGTAACGGGGGCGCGCCGGTGCGATCGTTCCGGTTCTGCCTTGCTGGGACGCCGTGGAACCGGAACGATCCTCCTGCGCTCTATCTTTCAGAAGGCCTTTTTCTTCTTCTTCTTTTTCTTCTTCTTCTTTTTCTTCTTCTTGTGAATCGATTAGGTTGATTACAGATTCAGGATCAAATATACCTTAAACGATAAAAATTAATAGGTTAGAAATTATTTTTCCCCCTCCTTACACGAAGCTGCATTTCTTTTAACTTACCGCGAACGGTCTTCTGCTCCGGTTTGACGCACGCCGAGGTGTTTGGCTGTTCGCTCCACAAAGTACGTGCCTTTGTAAGAGAAAGCCTATTGTTCGAGCGTGTCGTCACGGCGTGAGTAGCGACTCGATCCCCCTGTAAATCTGATAAAATGATGTAATTAATTTTTGTTATACCGCAACGCTCGGTGCTGCGATGAGTGTTAAAATACTGACCGTAGTGTAACTGCGGGGCGACGGCTGTCCTCTCCGCTCTGTCCGCTCTCTCCGCGTCTTGAGATGCGGCCACAAGGTCTGAAGAAAAAAAAAGCAGCGTCAGCTTGAGGGTTGGAGAGAGAGAGAGAGAGAGAGAGAGAGAGAGAGCTGTAAACTCACCTCCTAATAGCTCATTGTACTGAGATTCTGATAGAACAGCCATGATGCGTAGTTTCTCTCTCTTTTTAAAAAAAAGAACACCCAAAATCACAAGCACGGGCCAGCAGCAAGTCTGGAATGAACAGAGTCTTGTCCAACCTTCTTGCAAGAAAAAAAAAAGCTAAAGAGGATCCTCCCTCCTCAGTGGCGGGGAAGTTAATCTACATCTGGACCTGATGAAGAGCTGCGGCCTTGGGATGAACAGAGTGTTTGTCCAAAATAGGGGTGATGGGTGAATTATCTAGCGAAAAAGAAGCTAAGGCATCCGGAACTAATTAGCGGAAAACAACAGGTGGGCATTCTTTTCCCTACAAAATGCTGTAGACCGTCAGGGCTATATCTGTCTGTTTAAACACATCTTGCAGAATCTGTGAGACTTTTGACCACTCCAACTGATCCAAACCGCATCCAATTCTGAAGGAGATAAAATATTGTGTTTAATTATCAAATAAAGAAGAATTAAGGGTATTTATTGACAGTAATTCCTACAAACCTAGGTAGTGATATTCTTTTCACGTTATTTTCTAAGCAGTGACATTTCATGGCTTCCAGACTCTGACGAAGGCTGACATATGTGGGCTTCTGGCTGGCTTTTTTCTTTGTAATCTGACATGCATGATAGGAAAGATACACTTACCAGATTGCATAATGAATGTAACATAATTGCCTGTGGTATATTTACCAAGTAGTATATGAAGCGTCGATCATGTGTTAGGACTGCGCATTCTCCAGTCAGCTTATCTATTAGGACAACAAGTTTTTTAAAAACAAACAAAGAAACAAATGAACAAACAAAACAAAAGAAATAAAAAAATAAAAAAAACTTACTCTGCTCCTTTAACTCGACGACTCGACCGAAATTCTTTTTGAATAAAACTGCGATTCCATTCCCAATTCGTAAATCTTCACTAACGCAGTGCGCTAATGATTCCTGGTTCGGAGCGGAGAACAGATCACCGGTCACATATTTTATCTTGCACATCTTGAAACATAGTCCGCAGTTACCACAAGCATTGCAAAAAAAAAAAAAAAAAAAAGTCACTGACGTTGAAGCCTACCATCTGTTACGAATTAGAACCTCAAACATCTGGATCCCATTTTCCAGGACCACCCACGTTGCCCCACCCCCATTTCCGGACCACCCACGTTGCCCCTCCCCCATTTCCGGACCACCCACCTTGCCCCTCCCCCATTTCCGGACCACCCACGTTGAACACTACCTGTCAAAATTTGATTTGATGGAAGGGAGTACCTATAGTCTCTGGCTTTTCCCATAGTGACATGCAT